GTTCTCATGGGGGAGAGATATGTCCAAAGTAATAACTTGTACACTTATGCAACTTATTGTACGTGCAATATACACATACATATGCAACTTATTGTATGTCAGTTCTCCCACAATTTAAAAAGTGTATGCCTTTTATTTATTTATTTTTTTTAACGTTTATTTATTTTTGAGACAGAGAGAGACAGAGCATGAACAGGGGAGGGTCAGAGAGAGAGGGAGACACAGAATCCGAAACAGGCCCCAGGCTCTGAGCTGTCAGCACAGAGCCTGACGCGGGGCTCGAACTCACGGACCGCGACATCATGGCTTGAGCTGAAGTCGGACGCTTAACCGACTGAGCCACCCAGGCGCCCCAATTCTTTTATTTTTAAGGATAGTTATAAAAATGGAATTTGGTGGTCAGTCAGAAGTCTCCTCCACATACAGTTTCTTTGTGTTACTTTCACATTAAGTTCTGGGAGATTTGGATGAGAGGAAGAAGGACTATGAAAGGAAGACTCCTCTTGAGAAATAAGGCTTAAGAGAACCATCTGCAGCTGTGGCCCCAGCTTTTGGCTCACGTGCTTCTCCAGCACCAGCCAAGCTCCCAACTCTGGTCCCAATCCCTTACAGCGGACACACCCCATTCCGAACCGTCCCATTAAAATCCCCACCCACTACCAATCCATAGCACCAACCACCGGGAACTTTGGCCTCCAACCTCAGCCCTGCCTGCCAGACCACACCTTGCACGTAAGCCCTCCTGGCACTTCAGTTCACGTCCACCGGCCAAGTTTTTAGCTAGGTAGATGCTGACCTGGCCCGCTGGGTCATTTCACTTTCCCCGACCTTTCCAACAGAGGGAGAAAAGCTATCGTATCTGCATCACACTGAAAACTGGCTGAAGACGTTTCCCCCGAACTTCAGGTAGCATCAGTGGGACTTTCTCTCCCAAACCCCTTCAGAAGGCGTTTTCAAGTCTAATCCCTTTTGCAGCGGCGTGCTCCTTGCCGACAGCACTGCACATTCATTGGGGCGATACTCTGGAATCTTCCTATGTGAAAGACCGAAATAGATAAACGCATCATAAAGGAATTCTAGAGGGCTTGGGCGTGATGATTCTAAGAATTTTATCCGTCCACTTCAAGAAATTTCTTCTGTTGAGCTTTAGGATTACTACGGAAACAACCAAGGCTTTTGCCGATTTATCCCAGAATATTATCCTTGTTGGGGCACAGTTGTGCACTGGTATTGTCACTGCAAAGGGGTTTTTGTTTGTTTGCTTGTTTGTTTCGTTTTTTGCTCTGAATGGCTCAAAGTGGGATACCGGAACTAAGTTAGAAATAAGCCTGTATAAGAATGAGCAGATTTAAGGATTATAATTGGTTCTCATAAGCTCAATTCAGGAGACCTGGGGGAAGTGATCTTCATCTTCCAACATGTACTAAGGCATAACCTGAGAGAGAGAGAGAGACAGACAGACAGACAGGGAGTTGATCAGTGGAAACAGTGCCAACTAGAGTAGATACTGATGAATTAAGGAAATGCGTGAGAGAAAAGACAAAACATAGAAAACGCCAGAGGTTTGCTAAATTGAATTTGGGGACAATGAGATCAGGGCTCTCCTGTTGACCGAAAGCCTTACCTCTTGGGTTCATTGGAGCAGGATTTGCAAAAACAAACTGCAGAAAAGCCTTTTCTTTAGCCAGAATTCTTAGTAGGCAGTCATGTGGGGGTAATGGCTCCCTTGTCTGCTCCAACTCCCTCCTCACGTTCAGCCCCTCTGACTTCTGCCTGAACGGAGAGCTCGGTGAAGTCAGTGGGGTCGGGGAGAGGGAGCCTCACTTGTAGTGGCACCTCTGTTCTGACAAAGGCCCTGGTGTCTTACCTTTCCCTGCATGGAAGGAGGCAGGAAGGGAGCTGGGAGTGATTAATGTCAGGCACTGTGCTAGGTGATTTCTCCTTCAACAGCTAACTTAACTCTTAAAATGCCCCCATGCGATGGGAATTATCAACCCCACTTTCACAGAATAAGGAGCCGAGGAGAATAATCTACACGATATTAAGCCTCAGGAAGGTTGAGGACGTTGCAGTAACTTCATAGCTACTCTGCGGTGCACTGGAGATTTGTTTCCACATCGGCCCCACTGTGGGAGCTGACTCCTCAGTGGTTTTGAACCCTATTGTACAAGGTCCAATGTCCTGAATTATGACAGTCAGGTACTTGGTGATAAATGACATCCAGGTCTCGCAGGACGAAGGAGAGGAAAGGAGAGACCTTGATTCTGTCTGCCTCAGCTCACTAGCACATTCTGGTGTGGAGCCTTCCATTTTCAGGTGACTCACAAGAAAACAAGGTCAAGTCTACTTCTTTTGCTATAGACTCTTTTCTTTTTGTAGTTTTTTGAGATGTTCTTGTAGACCGAGAGTTTAACATGTTTAATTCCAGCCTAGAAGCCAATGAAATAAAAATAGCAAAGCAAAACTGACTGGCAAATAAAGGAAATTAATCTAATAACAGATTTTGTTCAGTCTCTTGGGGCCTGCCCCGACGAGTATTCCCAAATACTTTTGGAGTGAGAGCATGGCCACTGCCAGAGTAAAAAGCCTCTCGATTACGGCTGCAGCAGGCAGAAACTATTATATGTATACACAACACTGGCACACAGCTAAACTACACTTCCCAGCCTCCCTTGCAAGGAGGTCCAGCATCAGTCCTGCTCTGGTCAGTGGAAAATGAGCAGAATTGATATGCACCAACCCCACGTCATAAAACCATGTGCAATTTTCCATGTGCTTTTCTCTTCCTAGCTGGCTGGCATGTGTCAACTCTGGGGACCACCTTGGGAGCCACAAGATGCAAGACGCCCGGGCACTTGAATCACACCAAGGAGGAGAGCTGTCCAGCCAGAAGTATCAGCCTTGGACCGTTACAGATCAAGATAGAACCTTTGAGTATGTAAAGCTGCTACGATGTGGGGATCTTCCTGTGGGAGCAGCCAGCACTCTCTTAGCCAATTTTCCAGAGCTTTGGTTCTGCTCACCTTCCCAGAGAGCGTGATGTGAACCCCAAAGCACCAGACCCAGGAGAATGAAAAGGAGGCTTCCAGAGAGGCAAGCCTATCTACTTCTGAGCCTTCAGGACTTTTCTTTCCTGCAATTTGTGTTCCACCTCCAGGAAGTGTGGAGGGATCTTGGAAACCATTTTCTTTATATGACTTAGAGAGCAGAATTCAGTTGTGGCACCAAGAACATACTTCACTGAAGGGTAAACTCATAAAGTGAAACATTTGTTTTCAGACTGATTGTGGGAAGAGACCAAAGTAATTAGCCAAAAAGAGTGAACGATAGGATTTTTATGTAGTTTTGTTGCTGTAAGTAAGTAGGCAAAACAACCATTGCCTACCAGAAATCCTCAAAAGCTTGATTTTGTGACTACAGAAGAGGTATGTGTGCCCGGAATCAATTGTTTGGGTGCAACGTGACTTTTTTTTTTGAGGTGGGAGGGGAGGAGGGCGAGCAGAGAGGGAGAGAGAGAATCTCAAGCAGGCCCCATGCTCAGGTTGGAGCCCAGCACAGGGCCAACCCCACACCACGTCCCTGGGATCATGACCTGAGCCCGAGTCAAGACTCAGATGCTCCACGACTGAGCCATCCAGGCGCCCCAACAATGTGACGGTTTAAAGTGCTTGACAGTGTTTAAAACACTTTTTCCTTTAAACACATTTAAATTCACCCTTCCCTCAAATGGGTTTAGTCCGGTAAACACTACCTGTAATTATCTGAGCAACAAGCCAGTTTCATTTCGGCTCCTGTCAAATACTACACATGTCCAACGTGTGGCATTACACTTAGGAGGTTTATGGATTGGTATCCTTCGTAATCCATGACGGGGGTGAGGTATGTGATTGGAAGGAGGTCTCAACCATCGTTAGGTGATGAAAGGGTTGGTGTGAAAGGTATGTCTTCTCCAAGAATGGAGGAAATCCCTGAAAGAGAAGCAAGCAATGAGGTGCCAACTCGGGACGAAAGGATTTATACCCTTCGGTGCAGAGCCACTGCAGGGCTCTCAACGCTTGACCGGTTTGCATCGCGTAGGCAACCGGGGATTGTCACTGAAGCATAATTTCTCTTTGTCAGGATGCAGAAAGTGAAGATCAGGGCTCTCCCCAGGTAGACTCATGCACCTGCCGAAGGACAGGAAAGCAATGAGACGATCTGAGTACGCTGCCTGCACACAGACCCAGAAGACGTGTGAAAACAAATAGCTTCCCTCTCAGTACGCTGGGAAGACACCCGAAGGTGGCACACTGGACCTTCAGAGCCAAAGCCAGCATAAGAGGACCTGTGCTCTTTAAGAGCACATAAGAGGACCTCTGCTCCAGGTGTCTTTAAGACGCTGCCATTTGTGTGCAGCTGGCCCTTTAAAAAGAGCTCGAGGCCAGAGAAACCTCATCCAGCAGAATTATTCAGTTTGTTTTAGCAACTGCTTCCCGAGCCCCGTCTCCCATTACTTCATCTGCATTCCCCAGATGCTGACCCTGTCCCCTCTAAGCCCACAGCATTCCCCCCACCCCCGCCCCGCGGAGGCTTTCATAATCTCCTAGGGGACACTCCCAGTACCGAGCCCTGGCAGCCCCACAGGATGCCACCTCTCAGGTCACGGGTGGAACCTGACGCCCTTCCCCAGCTTCTCTCGCTGCAATCCTACCTGCCCCAGATTTCAGGCCTGCGTCAGAGGCTGCTACCGGAGGAGGTAGGGAGGTGACCCTGTTTGGTCCTGCCCAGGCTGAACTCCTCCGGGCAATTTCAGACAGCTGTCCAGGTGTTGCTTAGTAAGGTTGCATTTAGAGGACTGTCCAGCAAGGACTGCCAGGGTCTCCGAGCAGTGGCTCCGAGCCCTGTCTCGTCAGTCTTTGCTGGACGGATGAGTCAGCAACGTGTCCCTCTTCACACTCTCCCCCACCAGTGAGTAGCGCACTTCGGGGACGTCTTCCCGGATTAGTTAGAGCACTTTTGGAGGCAAGAGACAGAAGGCGGGTTCAAACCAGCTTAAAATAGTTTATTGGCTAAGAAGTGAAATGGAATCCAAAGGAGTAGCCGGACTTGGGCAGAGCTACGTCCAGAAGTGGTTCAAACGCTATTGTTGGGGACCTCTCTCTCTCTCCACCTTACAAAGAGTGAATCCACTGGGGCACCTGGGTGGCTCAGTCGGGTAAGTGTCCGACTTCGGCTCAGGTCATGAGCTCCAGGTCTGTGAGTTCGAGCCCTGCGTGGGGTTCTGTGCTGACGGCTCCGAGCCTGGAGCCGGCTTCGGATTCTGTGTCTCCCTCTCTCTCTGCCCCTCCCTCTCTCTCTCGCAAAATAATAAGTAAACATTAAAAAATGGTTTTTTAAATAAAAAATAAAAACAAGCAGGATATCTGTGAGGGGTCGACCCTTAGCAACACAGGGGAGGGAGCCAACGTATCCTGACAGCTCGGGGAGAAAATGTCTGCAAAGAAGCCCCACTGGCCCCCTCCAGGTCACGTGCTCATCTCTGAACCAATCACTGTGATTAGGCAGGCCCGGGCCCACAGGCCCACCCCCGCGGCTAAGGTAGGGGCCAGGAGCTGCCATCGAAGCACATTGAAGGGTTTTCTCTGCAGAAAACGGGGCTCAACACTAGCCTCCACTTTGCCATGACAAGTCATTTTCACACCTTGCCTTGGTTGCCATGGATAACCGCCCCTTCCCCCTTGACACGCTGTGTCTGATGTCCAGCACAGCCCATGCTCCTCGTTTTCCTTTTCACTGAGCCTTTTCTCCCCAGCCTTTTCCTGGCTTTCCTCATCTCCCTGGTCTCCTCGTGCTGCAGCCCTGAAACTCAGGACTGACCTCTTTGTCTCTGCTGCCTTCCGTGTGCACTCCAGCGGTAACCTCATTCAAGCCTGCGGCCTTATATGGCATCTATTCACTGCGGGCACCAGATTTGTATCCGACTGCTGTCCTCTCCTGAGCCCCAGACTCCATTTGGAGTCCTCCCCCACGAGGGTGACCAACAGGCATCCCCGAGAAACACTTCCAGCACTGAGCTCTTGGTCGGCACCCCCAAACCGCTCTGCGACCCCTTCTCCTTGCCCTTGACGATGAATCGCTCCATTCGTACATGATCACAGTTGCCCCCAGATGGGCGCCTGCCCTTGCCTCGTGGCTCCTGCAGTGTTCACGCAGCTCAGCGGTCAGAGTGAGCCTGTGAACGAAACCAATGACTTCCTCCAGGTAAGATCCTGAAGTGACTCTCAGCTCACCCAAAGTAAAACTCTTAAGAGTAGCCTGCAAAGCCCTACCTCCCCACACACCCCTCCCCGTTGCCTTCCTGACAGTTGACGGCCTTCCCCCCACTGCATCGGTTCAAGCCTCATCAACTTCCTTGCCATTCTTCTCATTCACCAAACACAATTACACCTCAGGGCCTTTGCACTTATCGTTCCCTCTGTCTGGAGTCCTCTTTCTCCAGATACCTACACGGCTCCCTTCTCTGGGGGAGGTGATTTTGTCTGTGTGCCCGGGGCTATGTCCCCACCACCTAGTGCTGGTATGATAAGCCGTCAACAATTTGATGAGTGAGTGAAACAGAGTGACTTTCTCAGTCCTTCAGTCTGGCCCCCACCGGGGCCACCCTCTGGTCTCACCCTCTGGGTCTCCTTTGCCAACAGTCTGTACGTGGAGACCAGGAGGCAGCACAGACTCACTGCCCGGGTGGAGGCAAGATGCCAGCATGCGGCCAAGAAGGGTGAGGCCAGAGCCCAGGGGGCAGGTGGGAGGGTTGGAGAGCAGGGAAGATGTGGGTGGGCTGTGACATTCCACTCGTGGGACGGGGCCCAGTGATGGCTAGACAGGGCCGGGCGGCGGAGGCTGCGGTAGCCGGTGGGAAGCTGCGAGGCCTCAGTCCTTTGTTCGGCCGGTACACGGAGGATGCCAGGTCCGGGCAGGGCAGACGAGGGGGGAGAAACCATGAGACACACTGAGGTCAAAGTGGATAAGAGCCAGAACACAATGTCCAGCAAACCCGGCCATGGAGGCAGGCAATCTGTCATCCTTTCCAGTCAGGGCTGATGGGAGCTCTTGGAAGATGCCAGGCTCTCCCTGCAGGGCCGCGCCTTCTCTCACCTTAAAGGCTCAGCTCCTCATTTCTTTCCTGTGACAGGCTGCACCTCTTCAGGCAGAACCCCTGGTCTGGAGACCCCATAAGGGTCGCCTCCACTGGCCTGGCCCACACCGGCGACAATGCACCACGCTGCCTCCCCCAGCTATAAGGCAGGCCACCAGCTTCCAGGCTCCCCAGCACCCAAAGCAATTTTTTTTTTTTTTAGCATGATAGAATTTAAAGGCACCTTAGAGACCTTCCAAGTCCAGTATCCTCATTTTATCAGTGGGACACCTGAGGCCCAGGAGGCCCAAGGGATCGAGTCAGCTGGCAAGGGCAGCGCCCAGGGAGGATGGCCGGCCGAGGGCTCTTTTGCCAGCAGTCTCCATCCCCGAGGATGGGCTGAGCCCAGGCCAGGGCTGGTTGCTTTACCTGGGAACTAGAAGCTCGCTAATGCTCCAGGAATTTGCCGCGTGGTGAGTGCAGGAGTGCGGCTGACCGCAGGGGAGGGTGTTTATACCACCCTCGTGCTCTTCCCTCCATTCCCCATTTCGTGATGGGATCGGGTGAGGTCACTCCTCTGCCTGATGAAAATCTCTGGCCCTCGCCAAGCTGCTGTGCTCTCTAAGCTCATTATCTGACTGGCTCATACTTTCCCAGGGGTTGCAAGGAGGAGGAAAGGTAATTAAGTGTTTTGCTTAAATGGCCTTTTCAGTTGACAGAAATAGCTGCCCAGGGATGCGGCGGACGCTCCTTCCCGATTCTCTCCCTGCAACTGGCGGGCGGCAGGCCGAGCACAGGCACCCAGGGCCAGGGAGGGAACCAAGGACAGTGCAAAGGCCAGACGGCCCAAGGCCGCTGCTTCCCCCACGTAATCACTAAAGTGGATCCTCTGCAGGCAGATAATGGAGAAGAGTAAAATAAGCCCAGGTCGGCCTTCTCCCCTCGTGCAGGGAAAGCCTCCGATTCCTGTGCACGTGTGACCTAGGGTGCCATGTGTGATCAAGCAGGGTTCTCTCTGGCCTCCCATGGCCCTCTGTTGGACCAGCATACTGTGTCCAAGTCTATTCGGTGACGTTTAATGTCCCTTTACAGCACGGAGCAGTCACTACTGCTGAGAGAATGTGTTCTCTGGGGAGAAATGATCCTACCATATGGAGCTCTTGTAGGTGGGGGACGCAGGCAAAGTTCAAGGGTGCATCTCCCCGAGACTCCTTGAATAAAAACGTCAGTCATCTGTGTCCTCAGACAAACGGGCAAAATCAGGTTTCCACATAAAGAATTTGGATGCAAAGAGGGTCATTATGAAAACACACAAGGAAAGAAAGAAAGGGCAGGTGGAAGCAGAAAAAAATAAAAAGAAGAATGTGACTTTCTGATGTCGGAAACCACTGATAGGGCTGCAAGGAGCTGCTTCACTCAGACCACAAGGAGTTAAGTCTAAGCAAGCAGCACCTACTGATAAGTCCAGGGCACATTCAGCATTATTGTGTTAAAGAGAATAGCAGTCTTATTACAACAGACAGTTCCATGTACATTAGTGCCCACACAGTGTCACCTGGCTGTGAATTCAGCAGGATTTTGTTCACAGAATAATACAGTTTTACCATTGTTCCAGGTTAGAAATACACATTCATTAATAGACACAGTATCTCTGGCACGTCTATGCGACGCGAAGTCCCAAAAAAGACTCATTATGGAATATGGCCCCACAGCCAATAATGGCAGTCATTATGACAATGTGCATTAATATCAAAGGATCTGTGATTCTTTTTACATTTTTCCCCCCGGTATCATCAATCTCTAAATTGTGCATCTCTCTTGGCATGATCAGGTGTCCTCATAGCCTCTATCCGTATGCAAAATTTCACTGCAAGTTGTTAAAAATTGCAGAAGACATGCCTAATTGAATGTTGGTTAGCTACCATTTTGCTTCAAATTGACCCTCAAATTGAGTCGAGGTGACTCTACTCTCATTTAGTGGTATTTAGCCCAAGTCAAATCAATCAGGTGCTTCAGAATTTATACGGAAGACAAAATCTTTCCTTTCTGACATGGTTTGGGGTGGCCACCAAAACTGGGGAAAGGACAGAAATTGACACATACAAGAAAGCTCAGTGGGAGAAAAAAAAATGACTGCCAAATTTGTGTTTATTACTATAGAAATTCCTAATCTTACCCACATCCAGTTTTCCCTTCCTCTTGTAGGTGGGCGATGTGATAAGCCCTAGCACGTGAAACAACAATAGAAATTGATGGTTGTTTCCGGGCCCGGGTTATAGGAGAGTATATGACACCCATACCCTTTCTGTTCCTCTTCTGCAATATTCTTGTAAAAATTCAGCGAGCCATATATTTCAGAGTGCTTTTCTGTGCATGCATTGTGCATTGATTAAAAAAACCATAAAAATGAGAGGTGATCCTGAGTAAATTTTGCCCTCCATGGTACCCTTCACTTCTAAAAATTCTGCTTTCTGGTGGCTCCATTCACCAACATTCTTATTTTTGTTGATGGGATAGTGAGCAGAATGTCTTCTCCCCAGGCCCAAGGGCCAATGGAGGGAGAAGATCAGAGCCTCATCAGAGTTTCAGGTGTTTGGGATTTATTGAGGAAGTGCCTTACAGAAAAAACTGGTGAGGGAGGGGGTGAAGGATGGCTGGGGTTGGGGTAGAGTTGAGCAAGGCTGTTATCTCAGGACAGTCTGTCCTTGACCTAATCTGTGGTAGGGGGTGAAGGGAGCTCCAGAGCATAAACAGAACTGCAGAATTATCGCTTCCCACATGATGCAAAAGATCTTGCCTTTCATACCCCCTTTTTCAGTTAACCATTGCCTGTGGGCTTCCCCATCCTGGGAGTCAGTGAAAATTTTCTTGGCAAGGCTGTCCCCATCAGTGGAGGGAAATGTTTTAGAGAAAGGGACAACTGATACCCATGAGCCACTGACCTACAGCAGTGGGGCATTCGGCCCAGGACAGTGGATCTGAGCACGGCAGCACAGAACATACTACAGTCCACCCCTTTCAGTATTCACTTCCACTTGCTTCTCACAGCAGTGCACTCCATCCAGGCATGGATTTTTCAGGATTTGTGTCACAATTCCTAAGGAAACTTACAAGAGGATTGTTGGTGGAATGAGTTACAGCCCCCATGGCTGCAGCTGGTCCCAGGGCCATACTTAATCACCACCGTTGCCCTTCTCTAGCACCCATTGTAGATTCCCCTCACATCTGGGTAGCACTTCTGTGGTTCTAGCTGATTTTCATGCAGGATCTAAGTTCTTCTGAACATGCCTTAATCGGGCCATGTTTCCTCTACTTGCCCAATTGCGATTTAAACTGAGCCTGAAAGCACCAAGAGTCACCACAAGGGGATCATCAAAATGACAAACACGTGGTGCCCACTTCTCTGCATGTACCGGCAGTCCCTCGTGACGGTCAGAATCAGTTGTTCCTCCTCGTGTGGTGCATTTTTCCTTGCCCAGTTGTCTATTGTCATAAGGAGACCATGTGACCAGAGAGGCAGCTATAGCTTTACCAGGACCCTTACTGTGTTTCTTGGTGTTAGCAGCCACCTCTAAAAAGTCAGGGTATCTAAAATTGTGTAGATAGGATTCTAGCTCAGATCAAGTCAGTGATGATGATGGAAATGATGATGAACAAAGCCTGTCTATTTCCTGGTGCCATGCTTTTACCTCTTACGGATATAGCATGTAAAATAGCATTAGTCTAAAAAGTCTCCTGGATCTTGAAATAGTGCCTTAACTCACACAGGGTGTCACCTCCAAGCTGGTGACTCAGCAGCTTTATTGAAAGCCTCTTCCACTGTTCTATCAGGTTGGCAACTTCTGAATGGTGTGGTATGGGGTAGAATCAGTGATCCCATGGTCATGTGCCCCTGCCTCACCTCCTTTGCCATAAAGTGAGTCTTTGATCTAAAGAGATGCTGTGGCAATCCCATGTCAGTGAATCAGACTCTGCCTGAGCCCTTGCAGAGTGTATTCGCCAAGATCTTGTGGGCAGAAAAGACAAATACATATCCAGAGTATGTGTCAGTCTTAGTGAGCATGAATCTCTGCTTTATCTAGGATGAGAGGGGACTTATATAATAGCCTTACCACAATGCCTTTCTGGTCTGCTGAAGGAACTCAGATTTGACTTTCAATAGCAGCAGTAGCTAGATCCGCGTCGGTGAGAGCAAATCCATGCTGTTGGGCTCATGTATAGTCTCCATCTCTGCCTTCAGAATTGTTCCATTCATGAACCCATTGCAAGAGCAGAGGCTGACATCAACTTCCAACTCATCCTATTTGTTTGTTTGTGTGGCACTTCTGCTACAGTAGGTCTTGGTGTGTGGTCATGTACAATACATGGAGATCTGGGCCACCAACTTATTTGTGTCCTATGACCTGCTCAAGCCGAGCCCAGGATGTACCACTTCCATTCTATAATGGTTTGCTGCTGGGCCTGTTTGACCTTATATCTTGGTTGGGCTGATAGAACCCAGGTCATGTTAGGTAGCTTGGCATGTGCTTAATTGATATCTACTCCATATTGAGATGTTCTTTCTCTACCAGTACCCAATAACAAATCAAGAGATATTTTTCAAATGATGTATGATACTCTGCTACAGGCAGTAGGGCTTGCTCCAGAACCCTGGAAGTCTGTGCTGGAATTTTCCTTTGGGGGCTTGGAAAAGCCTCCAATCAGCAGCCCTTTCTAACCAGATACCTGTATGACCATGAAGTCTGCTGGATCATATATTCCAAACAGCGGGACTGCTTTTACTATAAGGACTTTTCTTGTTCTGGGTCCAATGCAAAACTAGCAACCTTCCATGTCACTTAATTAGTTAGAGAAATATTCTCAAGTATATAATATACTACTCTCAAAACCCAAATGGTCGGGGTGCCTGGGTGGCTCAGTAGGTTGAGTGTCTGACTCTTGGTTTCAGCTCAGGTCATGCTCTCACAGTTCATGGGATCAAGCCCTGCATCGGGCTCTGTGCTGACAGTGCAAAGCCTGCTTGGGATTCTCTCTCTCTCTCCCTCTCCCTCTGCTCCACTTCCACTCTCTCTCTCCCGCTCTCAAAATAAATAAGTAAATAAATAAGCTTTAAAAAATTAAAAAACAAAAGGTTTAACAATGGTCTTCCTTCTTTCTTAGCAGCAGTGGGTTCAAGGCACCCACTTTTCCCTTACTTTGTCCTTATTAAGAACAAGTTACCTATGGGGCGCCTGGGTGGCGCAGTCGGTTAAGCGTCCAACTTCAGCCAGGTCACAATCTTGCGGTCCGTGAGTTCGAGCCCCGCGTCAGGCTCTGGGCTGATGGCTCAGAGCCTGGAGCCTGTTTCCGATTCTCTGTCTCCCTCTCTCTCTGACCCTCCCCCGTTCATGCTCTGTCTCTCCCTGTCCCAAAAATAAATAAACGTTGAAAAAAAAATTAAAAAAAAAAAAAGAACAAGTTACCTGTTTCTTACTTTGGGGAGCCTATCCTGGCACACCCCAACCCACTGGACACCTATCATCTTCAATAGGTGGGTGCGATGGGTCCCTGAATCTCTGTAGGGTTTAGTTCTTACCCTCTGGAGAATTTATCTTTCCAAGGTATTCAAAGTACTTGTCATAGTGGATCAATATTCTTCAGAATGTCCAGCCGATCCGGATCTTTCAGACTATATTATGACAGGGTGCAAGAGAATCAATATATCCTTCAGACTAGATCGTGATTGTATACTGTTGTCCCTCCCATTTGAAGGCTAACTGCTACCCTTCCTCTTTCCTTATAGAAAAGAATGCACCATGAGATGGACCAGAGCTATCAGTCCCATAAAGGCAGGAATCAACACTAACTCAGACCTGTAACCAACAGCCTGTGATCAAGCTGGGTATAACCTATTCCTGAAAGTAAATTGCTTTAGGTTCCTTTAAGGAAGTACTGAGAAATCACTACTTTATATATTTGCCTCTGTGTTGCAGAATCCATTCTTAAGAGACTTGATCTTCAATCACTGGGCGTCTCAGAACTGGCTCCAGCTTGGAACTTGGGCAACTGATCATGAGTTTCAACTGGGACCTCAGGTTTTATGTTCTCTTCTTCGTCCTCATTCTCTTATGATGTCATTATTTATCAACTACTGGATAACTTATGATGGGTGCTAGATGTTGGAGATGTAGGGGTAAAAAAGATACAGCCCACAGCCTTCTGGAACTTTTCCCTTCCAACTTCTTTTGATTACTTTCTCTTAACCACATAGGCTAAAAGAACCCAATATGTAGATAGAGAATGTTGTGGATTCTTAACAGCTAACATATTTGAAAGTCAAAATGACAATAGTTAGAAAGGTTAATATTGAGTAATTACTAAAGTACTTTCCCTATATTATTTGACTTAATCCTCAAAATCTTATAAGAGAGATTTCCTTACTTTGTGGGTGGGGAAACTCATACTTACAGAAGTATCCAAGGCTCAACCTGTCTCCCTAAAGCTGTTTATGATCAAATGAAAACAAAAAAAGAGATTCCAGCTAGTTGTAATTTGGATCAGAGGAAGGCAAATTCCCCAAAACTCTTAATTCACCCATCCAAACAAGTTTTTTTCCTCTTATGATTCAAGCCAACCTGGGAATGGCAAGAGGTTCAAAATTCAAGAGAGTGTCACCTAATTCAAACATTTTTCCCCGGGGAAACACGTACCACGTACTAAGCCCTAGAGAAAAAGAAAAAATAAAAACCCCCCACCATACTGTACTGAGGGAGCTCAAAGCCTGTTGAGATAAACTTGCACATACTGAACAAGTAATGAACCACAGAAGGCTCAAAGATCTTGTTGCACACTGTCTTAACCCCGTTGGGAATCATGACAACACTTCAGTAGGTTTTGACTGGCATTTTAAAAATTAAATAGAACATAATTAAAGAGAATAGTATTAAGGAGAAAATACTAGGTTGCATCTCTTAAAGGAAGGATACATATTGTTTTTGTGGAATTTTATTACTTTGTAATATTTTTTAACGTTTATTTATTATTGAGAGACAGAGAGAGTCAGAGCATGAGCAGGGGAGGGGCAGAGGGAGAGAATCCCAAGCAGGCTCCACACTGTCAGCGCAGAGCCTGATACGGGGCTCGAACCCACCAACTGTGAGGTCATGACCTGAGCTGAAATCAAAAGTCAGTCGCTTAATCAACCGAGCCACCCAAGCGCCCCTACAACTGCCATTTTTTTATTCCCACCGGCCACCATTCTGATTGACTATACAAAAGTCCGGAACTTCTTCCTTAGCAATCCATTCTGCAGCATAAAGTCTCCTGGCTTGAGAATTATTCCCATAGGGGTCAAAAAGGTATAAAATGAAAAAGAGGAAGTGTCCAGGCTTTCAAAGCATTTTTTATCCAGAAAGTGCTCTATATGAGTCGTCCTTCATGTTGAGACAGCACTCCTCTTCCCAAACAGTTCCGAGACCCTCACCCTACTTACCATCGCCTCCTGTTTGGGAAGCACCAGCAAGGATCCTTGTTATGGATTCCTCAAGGCCCCAAGTCCTGAGATGAGGCTGGGTTAAGTACAGCCTGGAGAAGAAGGATACTCATGCTTCTCGCCACCCCAAGAAGCTGCAATCCCAGTCACAAAGCATGTCCAGAGCAGGTGGATTTATGCTCGGCTCATAAACTAAAACTCTGAACTGCTGGAATGTTAGGAACTCAGGTCACACGGAGCAACTAGAAACACGGTCAGAACCGATCTGAAGAAGGGGCGTTGGAAAAACAGTTCCGGAGTCTGGCCCAGAACTTGTTTGTGCTGTGTCCTCACCCAGAAGTTTCTCTTCCCCGCCCCCCACTCCACACCAGCCTGGCCTCTCATTCTCAGGCCTCAGTGAAATGTCACCTTGTCAGAAAGCCCTTCTCTGACCACCCTGCCTGAGTCACGTCGCCCAATCGATGCTTTCTCAGCGCATCCTCCTCTTGCCCTCCACAGCACTGATCGCGGTGAATAATTATATGCTGATCGGTATGTTTGGTTGTTTAATATCTCCCTCCCCAGGTGACTGGAAACTCTGTGACAGCCTGTGGGTTCACCCTGGACACCTGGCACTCAGAAGATAGTGGATGTTTATTGAAGGAGTCAATGAGTGGGGCGCCTGGGTGGAGCAGTCAGTTAAGCGTCCGACTTCAGCCAGGTCATGATCTCGCGGTCCGTGAGTTCGAGCCCCGCGTCGGGCTCTGGGCTGATGGCTCAGAGCCTGGAGCCTGTTTCCGATTCTGTGTCTCCCTCTCTCTCTGCCCCTCCCCCGTTCATGCTCTGTCTCTCTCTGTCCCAAAAATAAATAAATGTTGAAAAAAAAATTTAAAAAAAAAAAATATGAAGGAGTCAATGAGTTCCGTTTATGAAATTGTAATTTTGTTCCCTGTTACTGGCCATTAAGCAATTGGTTTGCTTTCGAATTACTATTACCAAAGTATCAAATGTATATCTACATCTACATCTATATCTATATACTCCTGTTTATAGCAGCATTATTTGCAATAGCCAAAAGGTGGAAGTGACCCACCAGTGTCGACCCACCAGTGAACACCACTGACAGATGAATGGATAAAATTACGGTTGTACAAACAATGGAATATCATCAACCTGAAAAGGAAAGACCATGTGACATGTCCTTGGATAACCTTGAGCACATTTGGATGGGCCAAATAGGACAAATATCGTCCTATTCCACCTGATACGAGGCACTTATATTCATAGAGACAGCGAGGGGGAGTGAAGAATGGGGATTCGGTGTTTCAGTTTCAGTTTGGGAAGATGAGAAAGTTCTGGAGACGGATGATGGCGATGGTTGCACCGTAACGTGAATGTGTTTAATGCCACTGAACATCACACTTAAAAATGGTTGAGATGGTTAAATTTTGCGTTATGTGTGTTTTACCATAGTTCTAAAAACTAAAATTAAAAAATACATCAAAAAGTGTTAAGTGTTTATTACTCGTGGATGCTTTGGGTATTGTGGAAAAACAGAGTGTATTCTATGTAAACGTTAATGTGTAAGTATTGAGAATGTTGGTCACATACTGAATGAAAGTTTTGTATTCTGGCTGATTTGGGTGGAGGTTTCCTCTCTTCCCTTGTCCGATCGGGGAGCCTCTCCATATAGCCACCGTGTGTGACGCACTACATACTGACCACAGACCACACACGACACATGGCAGTATTTAGAAATACACGCTGACTGGATGGCTGGCGGAACAGCAGGACGCACGCGGGTGCGGACAGGTGGGTAAAGAGAAGGGAGTCCGTGATAAAAGACATTGTTCGAAAGCGTGCTAAGGAAGCTAACATTCCTGTCCTAGATTCTGGTAGGATTATTTCCTGAAACCGCTTCGATCCCGTTTTCCGGTGAGAGGATTTAACAACGACTATTTTCAAATAATCAAGTTTGGGGGAAATCTTAAATAAGAAAGGTCGAATTTTCTCTTGTATTTATTTCCGAAAGAGGAATCACACATGATTATCATTGTCACATTTGACAGAAAAACTAACTGGGGCAGGGAGAACCCAGTACCGTGCTTAAGAGCGCGTGGCGAGGAAGTAAGGGAGCAGGGGCACGAGTGGGATTCCACGTTGTTAACCAGTGAGTTCTACAGCTCTCTGGAAGGGAAGGGAAGTACAGGGGAGGGGAGGGGAGGGGAGGGAAGGGAAGGGAAGGGAAGGGAAGGGCTTTCTAATTCATCTTCTTAGAATTGAAAAGCCAAGTCATATTCAACTATTGGTCTATTTGAATGCTCATGTTTGAATACAGACAACACCTCGGAGACAGGCTTCTGCGTCTTCTTCCAGGCCAAGCCCGAGTCTTGCCAAACGAAGTGTCCTCTGGTTTCCCCAGCCGCTGCCCCTCTGCAGCTGAGAGCCCGGCCAGAGGTGCCACGACACACGCTGCCTCACTCACTCTTCCTGTAACAGGGGATCACTTCCCTTAACACTCCACGGTTTCCAGAAGGCTGCATTGTTCCCGCGTCCCATTTTGGAGTTCCAAAAGACCTCATTTCCTCTGGTTGTTCTTTGGCCTTCCCCGGTAGGTGGGAACCAAACTCTTCCGTTCTCCTCTGCTCTGTTCACCGTCTCCTAAAGAGCCTTACAAATGGTTCTTAAGGTCCTGAGACACCAGCTGCGTGTGGGTGTGTTGTGTGCTGTGCGGGACGGGGCAGGGGTGGAGGTGGCCACGAGGAGGGAAGTCCCGAGAGGGAGGAGCGGTACAAAAAAAAAAAAAAGTCCCTGGTGACTGTGTCTAGACAATGTCACCTTCCCCTTAAAAGAACTCATGGGGGGGCGGGTGCCTGGGTGGCTCAGTCAATCAAGCATCCGACTTCAGTTCAGGTCATGACCTCACGGTTTGTGGCTTTGAGCCCTGCATCAGGTTTTCTGCCGTCAGCACAGAGCCCGCTTGGGATCCTCTGTCTCCCTCTCTCTCTCCGCCCCTCCCTTGCTTGTGCACACGCGTGAGTGTGCTCTCTCTCTCTCTCAAACATAAATAAACATTAAAAAAAAAAAAAGCATGCATCAGGTGCACCTGCGAGCGCCATTGAACTGAAATCTGTTCCAAGAAATAAGTTGCCTTATTGGTATCGTGAAACCAGTTTATACGTAAAGGTAACATTTAAAAAAAAAAAAACAACAACAACAACAGGGGAGCCTGGGTGGCTCAGTCAGTTAAGCTTCCAACTTCAGCTCAGGTCACGATCTCGCGGTCTGTGAGTTCGAGCCCCGCGTCGGGCTCTGGGCTGATGGCTCGGAGCCTGGAGCCTGCTTCCGATTCTGTGTCTCCCTCTCTCTCTGCCCCTCTCCCATTCATGCTCTGTCTCTCTGTCTCAAAAATAAATAATTAATAAATAAATAAATAAATAATTTTTAAAAAACACAATAATTTTAAAAGAAGAAAAAGAATCTGAGGGGGGCACTTTACTCTCTTTGAGATGTAATTTGTCACCATGGCTAGGGCGTCTGCTTCGTCTTGATGCTTTCACCAAGTCCAAGGAAGGTTTCCCGTGCCTAAGAGAGATGGTACCGTGTCACTCCGGGCACATACCTGTGGCCCTGTGCTCATAGCGTACCCTAACCAGACCTTCCTTTTTCCCTTTTCTGAACTCTGGCCGTCCCCTGACAACACGGACTGGCTCTTGGTGACGGGGAGACAGGTCGGGCATCGGGGGACCTGCCACAAGGAAGCCGGAGCCACTGTACCAATTTGTCTTCAGGATCAGCTTCAAAGCACAGGCAAGCTCTCTGCGAGGCAGAGGTATCTTCGAATCACTCTTACAACTTTTAAAAAGAGTAAAACAAAAAAACCTAGAACTTCAGACTGGCAACAGCAAACAATAGAAGGAAATGATGAAGACACTGTGACTTTTGAGCTCTAGGGAACGGGACAGCTTTAGCCACAGAGGAATTTCAGACTCTCCCCCTCCTCCACGCCACAATCTTATCAAGGTCAAGGTAGGAAACCGAAAGCTACAGTTTTCCCTTCAAAAGAAAACACCGAAGACCAAGAAGTCCAGGGGCTTTTTTTTTTTGCTGGATGCAATTTGCATCTCTCCTTTCAACCTTCAAAATAAGCAAATGTCAAGATATTATTCGCAAAGTCAGACAACGATAAACGAACTTAAGCTACATGTTCAAATGATATGCTCAATGCTTTCCTTCAACTTCTAGACTCCCTTTCCGATGAAGTATCTCTGAACCTAAAGCACTAGGGTCCAATGATTTGTCTGCAAAAGTGGACTATATCTACCGGCCAAAACATCTGGAAGCTCAGGGAAAGTTGTGTATGTATCATATCTTTATCCAATGTATCTTGAGTTTGGGGACCTCCTGGATTTTTCTCTCTTTTTCGCAAGTCCTCTGCTTCTTTTATCCAACCACCAGATGGGCTTTCCCTCAGGAACCATGGACTACTGCACGGAATACAACTGGAACAACTGAAAATAAAGTCGCACTCAAAGTTACACCTGACGCTGGCCGCCGCGTGATGTGCAAGCTCCCTAAACGTCCTAAGAGAGAGCAACTGTTAGACAACTGACAAAACTTCTTAACCAATGATTCTTGGTGTCGCAAATGTTGAAAGGTCATTCCCGGTTTCTCAGGCTCCAAGTAAAGGATTGCTGGTTGTTGAGGCCTGGAGCTGTGGACCGGGGCTCCAAACTCTCCCCTTGAACTTGGGAATGATAGAGAAGACCTTGCAGAGCTGACCCAGCCCGAGGAGCAGTGAAGGGACTACTTCTCCATCTCAGGGACCCCACGTCTCTCAGACAGAGGTTATTTGCAGGGGGGTGGTGTTCACTCCTGAGCTTCAACTCAGGTCATTTGTTCCATGACCTGGTTCATGTGTCAAGGTCGGCCCAGCCCTGATGTATAGCAGAAAATACAGCTCTCTTTCAGCAGCCTGAGGGAGCTCCTCGCTTGAGCATTAAGCAGGGGCACAGAATCCACTGGAGGCAGAAATGACACCAAGGCTGAGTGGTCTCACCTGAGCTGCTCTCTCTCTCTCGCTTTTTATGTTCACCCCCACCTGAGGTTTTCAACCAGAAACTCTTAGAATGTTCCAGATGTTGGCTGGACTGAGGACAGCTCCCCCAGGAGTTCCACAAGTGCCTGGAGGCAGGGGGACTGAGGAAGGATGGACCCACACTCACCCCTCTCGGGTTTCCTTCCTCACCCAGTAAAGAGATCTGTAAGACAGGCTCCCCGTTCTGGGAAGCCCTCTCTGCTCTTGGTTCTCTCCCAGGCTCCTCCCCAGCCATCCACTCGTCCTCCCCTCTCTGAGGTGTGCCTCAGGAAGCTCTCACTTGGTCAAACCCAAGTTCCCATATAAAGGAGAGAAGACAGGAGCTCATTCTGTTGCTCAGAGACACACAGCAACGGCACGACCCACGCGTGGTTCTGGATGATTCTTCTGATACACGCCCCACCGGGGGCGTGGATACTTCCCCACTCTCCACACCGGGCTCGGCCCTGTGACTTGCTCTGGGCCATGGAGTGTTAGCCCACACAGTGCAAGCAAAGATTCTGTGACTGCCTTGCTCTCTTGCGCTCCCGCCATTGTCATGAGAAGGACAAGCCAGGGCTGGCCCAG